ATGGTGAACAGTACAAGGGCATTCATCACAGAAACTTTTGGTTTTGATCACACATTATGAACTATAAACAATCAGGTCAAATATGAATATTCGTTTGATTTTTATACTTGATTTATATGTGAATCCCACATTTCTCCCTTTATTATTATTATTATTTTTATTTTTAATAAAATGCTGAAGATGCAAGATAAAGGTAGAAAACATAGTTTAGTGTTGTAAGAGAGCAAATGTAGATGATCAGGTGTGTGTCTGTAGACTATGTGTTAATCCAAGCTAGACAAGGGCAACAAAACATCCACACATGCAGAAGATTTCTCTCAAAACATGGGGTGTGTGTGAGGTTCTAAGCCTCACCGGGAAGAGGCTTCTTTTAAAAGTGACTTCATGTATACCTTACTTGCTGTATCACAATTGGTACTCTGATTTATGTTTTATGGGGCCGGGGTGCCTTTTTATTGTCTTTTCAGATTTTAGCATCCATAATTCATATGGATTTCCTTCTGCTTTTATAAATATTTGAGGGGATTAACTGCCATTTGTCTTTTTTTTTTTAATTTAAAGGATAAACATCTAAAACCCCTCTAACATCTTCTGTTAAAGGGACAGGCTCCAGATTACAGAAGAAATGCAAATTAATCTACTTATCCTACCTCTGTTCTAGGGATTCCTGATTCTAGAACAAGTTTCTTTAGTCATTAAGGAAAACCCAAAAGTCAGACAGGTTAAGGGGTTCTGTGTACAAATTATTCTTTCATTTTTATACATGGAACATGCTGAGAAAAAATAGTTAGAAACACCATATGCTTTCAGATTTGAACCTAAATCTTAAAATCTGTCAAACTGAGGAAAGTCATTTATTAAATTTTGTATATATTAGAGATACCCCAATAAAATAGATGTTTGTTTGCCCTTGTATAAAAGCATTTAAGAGTTTCTTTCCATCAAAAAAACATTATAAAACTGCTTCACTAAGCTCTAGTGGATATCTTTCCACATCTACTTTAGAAGCATGATAGACTTTTAACTGCGTACCATCTCAGAAAGCAAGGTGGGTCCTGTTCCCTAACTACGAATATGTGATGAAATGAAAAAGTGACATTTTTGACAGTCAACTGCATATATCTCAAGGAAAATAGCACAGAATTGCCTCTTCATATTCAAGCCTGCATTAAAATCTTAGAAATCTACCTCTTTATTGCCACTTCCATACCAATAAGCACTGCACATAAAAAACTAGTGGAATGGAATACTAGAAGTTCAGCCTTCTCTTCTTTCTGCTACTACTCTTGACCTTAGCCTGGAAGAAAAACCTGCTACACACACTGCCCTGGTTTCAGCACTAAGATATACAGTATTTAAGAAGCAATACAAATAAAGAAATTAGAAGAAAATGAGAATGCTTAGTTATTGGTTTTTCCCATCCAGGGTCAATCATACCTGCATTCTTCATCACTTTTGATGAGGGGATCAGAGCCTACGGTGCCCACCAGGAACTTGGGACTAAGCAGAGGCAGACGAACATGCTGTAGCACCTACGAGATAAAGCACTGTTACAGGCATGAGCTCCATCTGCATGATATTTAAAAGAACATATAACATACAACCCATGTTCCCCTATTGTGTTTCCACTTATTTGGGGACTGAATTTAATAACTGATCTAATTAATATATAATGAAGAAGGGAAGGCATAAATACTAAAACGAAATTAACTTTACTCTAGCCACCAATTCAGTAATTAGAATAATTGAAAAACTGAAAGCACACTGTCACTTTAGAATGCCACTTTAAGCTTTCAGTGGCCTAAAAAATAAGCTATTCAATAATTAGCTTATATAACTGGCCTCTAATTAACAATCCAGAAGAATACCCTATTAAACTATGAAAACTATAGTCATAATAACAATAACATTAAACACTTCAGCTGGGGACCATTTATGCCTCATATCATCCTTTTACTCTTCACAATGTGGTGGGATCTCCAAGCCACAGGGAAGGGAGGCATAATATTTGCCATCTTACTTTCTTATATTTATTTTGTACAACTTAGGTTCTGACTTGTGCTATAGCCCAAACCTAGAGTTGATGCAAAATAGGAAAAGGGCAAAAGTTCATAACGATAGACACTTAAAATGCTTCTTTACCTGTCTCCTTGATTATTTGGAAGTAGATGGATAGTCTTTCTTACAGTCTAATGTAAGGGACAGTGAGAACTGTCTCTGTTTTACAAGTCAAGTACATATATTTCATCCAGTACAAGCATTATTTAGAGAAGCATTTCTATCATACCTGGGGTAACTGGGGCCGTCTTTCTTGAATACTGTATTTGACCCAGGCCATCACTGCATTGAACACCTGTTCTTCACTGCGGACATTTAGTTCATCACTAGATATTATATCAATGAGCTGATTGGCTGGAAGCAACATGAACTCTTCACTTTCCATCACCTGTTCAAAGTTAGGTGAATAAAAGAAAAAAATGCTGTGATCATTTATAGTTGCAGTATTTTTCTTTAGGGTTATGGGGCAAAGCTCTGTATTACAATGCAGCCAAAGTTCAAAACAGTACCAGGGGAGAAGAAAAGTTTAAAAAAGGGAACAAAGACAGGCAAAGTGCAGAGAATTTTCAGGACAATGAAACTGTCCTGTATGATACTACAATGGTGGATACGTGTCCATTTGTCAAAACCCATAGAATGTACATCACCAAGAATGAATGCTAATGTAAATTATGGACTTGGGTGATAACAGCATGTCAATTTAAGTTTATCAGTTCTAATGAATGTACCTCTCTGGGGTAGGACTGAGGTAGGGCAGGGGCATGGGACAAGCATCATGATTAATTTTTCCTGCCTATGATGAAAATAACAAGATATAAATAGTGTGGTAAGAACAGGAGGGACTCCATCCTAAGGCTAAGATTTCATTTTAAAAACCTGGGAGTTAGGAGGTTAAGACCCCTAACTTATTTTATGGTAATCAGCCAATAACCTACCCTGTCTTAAGGCAGAGCAAGCAGTCCTAAATAATATGTCCCCACTGCTTGAGGGTAACTGTTATCTCGAAGAACAGGATTAAGAAATTCCTTGTGTTAAGTTTATCTGACAGAGAATCTAGAGGAATGACTACGAGTTATGGCATAGTGTCTCTCACTGGAGAGAGACATCATGAGACCACATGTCAAGCCTACACATCCCCTGGCCTTTGCCCCATTCCTGAAAGCTTTAAGAGATAGAATCCTCAGCCTTTAAGCATGCCTCCTCGCTGAGGTTACCCACACTCCCTTTTCTTTGAGTGTGTATTTTGCCTTAAATAAAGCCTTGCTGCTCAACTTACTGCATTTTGTCTCCACACTCTTCCAAACCTCCTGGGAGATTAAGAAGAGACCCCTTTTCCCAGTGGTAAGTGTCTTTGTTACTCTGCTATTTTATTCAATTTTCTAGACTTAAGCACTAGTCTTCTCTCTCTGTCCTACTTCAGACAAGTATGCTACTTAGATCTCTGATTTGGGCTTGCAAGTTCCTGTCACCTGGGTGACCTGGATGAGACTGCAGAGGTACGATCATGCTCTTTAGTAGTCTGCCCGAAAATCTCCTTTCTTTGCTTTGCTAAGTTCTCAGAACACAATCTCATTCCATCCAGTACTCTGCAGCTCCCCCAAATCCTGGGGTGGGAGGAGCTTAGATCAACACTGTGCAGATTCAAGTGGACACTGGATGTCAGATGACTTGGCTTCAGGAGTTGGCAAGGGATCTGCCCCATGCCGAGCAGGAGTTCAACGAGCTTCCCTTTCCTCCCTCTGTTCTTCCTTTTTGCTCTCTGCAGCCTGCAGGGCTGCTGCCATTTGCTGCTACTCCCGCTTTGAGGTGAATTCCTTCCTTACCTGCACTCATCTGACCTGAGACTGAGAACCAAGAATTCTTTCTTGATTGGAGTCAAGAACCCGCCCCTGTCCAGGCTAAGGTTTTGCCTAGTGCACAGGGAGAGACCTCCCCAGACACAGGTGCCTGACAACAGGATGTTGATAGTCGGGATGGCTGTGTGTATGCAGAGACCGGGGGTATGTATAGGAACTCTGTACTTTCTCCTCAATTTTGTTGTGGACCTAAAACTGCTCTAAAAAATAAGTCTTATCAATGTTTAAAAAAGGGAACAAAGGAAAATACAGAGGACACAATTAAAATTTAGGAAAAAATTTGTGATTCAAGTAATTTAAGAAAAATGACATATTCTTACTAAAATGAATTATCAAAATAAAAATTTATATTCAAAACAAACTGAACTACACTAAATTATAGCTCCAGAAATGTAAGAGGTATACAAAAAAAAAAAAAAATAGGGAAAAAGCTTTTAGAGGAAGCCTGGTTGCTGCAAGGGCAGTGTCTAGGGCAGAAACACCAAGGGGCCAGTTTGAAAAAAGAATGAGGTGTCAGCATTTCTACGAGCAAGAATGAATATAATGAGGAGTTAGACCCATGAAAATCTCTGAGGACCAAAACACTCTGATATATATATACATATATATCAGTGAGAAACTAAAAACACACCAACATTCATCAGAACAGAGATGAAATCGCAACAAGGATATTACCTTGTTCTGCAGTCGAGCCACAAATCCCAAGATCTTGTCAATCTTGTCATCAGTATATAGAGTAAAAGGGACAGGGTGCAAAACAGGAGAGAGCTAGTCACTGCTACACTCCATGCGGTTGGTTCTCTCATTCAGAAGACTGTGCTACATGGGATGTCTATCAGTACAGGAATGATATGGTGAAGAGCTCAGATTCCTCCTGCGTGACCTCGAATGCATATAATATATTCTCTTGGGAGAGGACCATTTTCATGCTCATCAAAAAATTAGAATATTCATCAGGATATGAAGTCAGTCCTAATATTTTGAATATCTGATTAAGAATGTTTTCCCCAAGTTAGAAAAAAATACAAATCTCAAAATAAAAGAGTTAAGGACCATAAAGTCAGCTATACTTGGAAAATACTAATGAACATTTCAAGTTTTATGGCACAAGTCTTAAAATCATCTGAGTGAGAGGCTTTCTGGGATTCAGGAAATGGAATAGTAACCTTTAAATTTTAGCTGAGGCTGCCTGGTCAGGTAACTTGGCAGTCCGAATGGCTGCACTGAACTCTGTGGCAGGGTTGTCAGATGTAGCAAATAAAATACAGGACATATTTACACTAAAACAATTATTTGTTGTTCATCTGAAGTTCAAATTTAACTAGGCACCCTGTATTTTACCTGGCAACCCTGTGTTGGGCACTATAAAGTCAATAGCTAAACTTGGGGCCTAGCTCCAAATTAAGTGTGCTGGCCTTCACAACATGCAAAACTTTAGCCATGGCTGTATCTTACTTTCTTCTTATTTTCTGATTTCTCTCTTTACATACAAGCATGGTATTGTATATCTTTGTGAAGTACTTTAATATTCTTTTTTGATCTTGTGATTATAACCTTACTGATTATAAACCAAGTGTTAAATAAATATCAAGGATCACCAAGTTTAGAATGCATGCATAAACCACCATAATCATCACTTACTGGAAACATTAAATGCTAAGACACAAAAATTCCATGAGAAAACATTTGTTTGGTACTAAGAGCAAAGAGTAAAAATAATATTCTTGATAAAGTCTGGTGAAACTGTCATTTCTTTTGTCCATCAACAAGGAAAAGATATTAATGATCTACTGTTAGGGCAATTCTAGCACTGAAATCCTTGAGCCAAATCACCAGGTTAAAAAAAATGCTTTAAGATACCAGCTTTTTAAAATAAGAGTTTACAGGAGATCTGAATTTTAAGTCGCACACTGTTATGGCAATAAATTTACTGTTAGTTTCCTTAGATGAACGTAGATGCAATATGAAGAATGAATAAAATTCAAAACAAGAATAAGCAAAATCAGCTAGAGTTGTTCCAATAGAAATGAATGATAAATTTAGTGCTGTTGAGTTGAAAAGCAATTTTAAAATTCATGTTAAGCTAGGCTAATGAAATAGAAAATTAAATATAGATTTAAGTTAAAAATAATTTAAATGAATCACAAGTGTTAAGCCCCAAATGGTGACTTTTTTTTTTTGTATCTACATAAAACCATTCTAGTCCATGAACAAGGGTAAAGTTTCCTCACTGGGATTTCACTGTGGTAGATACCAAGTTTACTTTAGAGGCAGGGGTAGAACTGGAAAGGATTCCCAATCTTTCTCTGCTGTTAAAGATAGTCTTCAGATATTTGCAACTACCTTAGATCTAAAATATAAGCTATGGCTAAAGCAAAAAAAAATTTTTTTTAATCAACCTTATTTATTTTAAATATACAATTCAATGAGTTTGGATAAATGTATATACTTATGTAACCATGACCACAATCACTGCATAGAACATTACCATCATCCCAAAAGGTTCTAAAGAAGGAAATTCTTAATCTGGGATCCAATGACTTTGGCAAATTATTTTGGAAATGCTCACTGATGGTTTGGCTCTACTTTTGGAGAATGGATTTGATATTTGAAAATAGTGGAATGAAATTAAGAGTCAAGTCTGTTAAAGAAGCTCTTTGAAGAAGTTAAGATTGTTTTAAATGAGAAATTAAGTGTGACTGTAAAATATGGGCTCTATTAACTTTAGTGAGGTACAAACTCCATTTAGTCACTATGTAGTCCTCTGTTCATATTTTGTTGGAATCAATTTACTAACTTTATTAAGGTTTTCCCATCTAAATTCATGAGCTATTGATCTGCAGTTTTTGGTGTCTGTGGTTTTGATATGAGGGCAATTTTGCCCTTAGTTGGACCTCCTCCTCCTTTTTCTGACTTTGTGTAGAATTAGAATTATTTCTTTAGATGTTTGACAGAATTCACCATCTGATACTGGCATTTTCTTTGTGGGAAGGTTTTTAAATTATGAATTCAATTTCTTTCATTGAAGTAGGGTTGCTCTGCTTTTCTGTTTCTTCTTGAGTCAGTTTTTATAATTTGTGTTTTTCAAAGAATTTGCCCATTTCATCTCAGTTGCTGAATTTATTGGCAAAATATTTTTCATAATATTCCTTTATTATCTTCTTAAATGCCTGATGGATCTGTAATGATATCTCTTTTATTTCTGATACTGGCAATTTGTCTTCTTTCCTTTTTTTCTTGATCAGTACAGCTAAAGGTTCATAAATTTTTTTTCAAAGAACCATTGCTCTTTGCTCTAACTTTTATTATTTTCTTCCTTGTCTTTATGTTGGGTTTAACTTGCTCTTCTTTATCTAGCTTATAAAAGTAACCACCAGAACAAAAAGTAAAGAGATGAGCAAAGATACATCAGGCAAGTGGAAACACAAAGAAAACAGGAACTAAAAGCCAGATAGCAGACAAGGTATTCAAATAATAAAAGAATAAATTGTCAAAGGAGGACACTTTATAAAGCTAAAAGTCTCAATCTGCA